CCATTTTTATAGGGTGTATGCATGAGCATGCATACAAAAGAGAGAAGGGAAGATGAACCCTCCACAGGATCTGGTCATACCATGATGCCCTTCCTCTTGTCTCCAGCCTTTTAGATCTTAGGAATTCACTCATGTAACCATCATATTTCAGGCCAACTGGGCCAAGAATTCAAATGACAGTTGCCACATAGGAACAAGACTGTTTTGAACAGCGTATTATTTCTGCTGGAGCTGACTCTCTTTGTTTTGATTTCATAATAGCCATTGCAACTGGGGTAAAGTGATATCTCATTGTAATTTTTTGTTGGCTTTAATTTTATTTTATTATTATTTCTAGATTGATCAGAGAAAGACAAAGAAAGAAAGAGGGAAAGTGAGAACTCAAGCCACTAGGTCCAGGACTTGAACCATGTGTAAGTAGGCCATGTGTAAGTCCAGTGCCTTTTACCACCATGCCACCTGCCAGTCTCATTGTGGTTTTGATTTACATTCCCCTGCTAATCAATAATATTGAACATTTTTTTATATTCTTATTAGATATTTATCGGACTTAAGAATTGTCTGTTCAGATTGTCTATTTTTTAATTGGATTTTTTCTTCTTTATATATTTTTTGGTGGCACATTGCCTGAGTTCCTTATATATTCTGGTTATTAACCTCTTGTCAGATGTATAGCTTGCAAATATTTTCTGCCGTTCTGTAGGTCATCTCCACTTTATTAGTTCTCTTTGCTACAGAAAAGATTCTTGGTCTGATATAGTGGCATTTGTCTGTATTTATTCTTGTTAACTGTGATTCTGAGGTCTTATCTAAACAAATTTTTGTCAGATAAAGTTCTGAAGCATATTTCTTCTAGTAATTTTATATTTTCTTCTAGTAATTTCATAGTCTTAGGTCTTACATTTAAGACTTTAACTCAGTTTGAGTTGATTTTTGTACATGATGAGAAATAGAGGTCTAATTGCTTTCTTCTGCACATACATATCTAATATTCCCAGCAAAATTCATTGAAAAAACTTTCTGTTCCCACTGAATATTCCTGGGACCTTGATTGAAAATTAATTCTGAGGACCAGCAGTTGGCATAATGGCTATGTCACTGGACTCCCATGTAGTCAACCATGGTTCGAGTCCTGGACCCGGTGGCTTAAATTCAGGCTGTGTGTGTGTGTGTGTGTGTGTGTGTGTGTACGTGCGCATGTACCGAAGATCCCAAGAAGAGAATGGAGGAGAAGGGATTGCGGCATGGCCATCCCTCCGGGGATGATTTTTCACTTTCTGTCTCTGTCTCTATCTTTCTGGTAAGCGCACACGCCCTATAGCAAAAACCTCTCCAAAAATTAAAAAAAAAAAAAAAGAAAATTAATTGTCTGTATTATGTAGATTTATTTTGGGTTTCTCTGTTCTATTTCTTTGATCTATGTGTCTGTTTATATGCTAGTACCATGTGGTTTTACTTACTATAACTTTGTAGTATTTTTTGAAAACTGGTAATGTAACTCCTTCAGCTTTGTTCTTTTTTCACAGGACTGCTTTGTTTATTCAGAGTCATTTGTGATTCTATACAAATTTTATTACTTTTTTATGTTGTGAAGAATGCCATTGATAACTTGATAGATATTGCATTGACTCTAGATAGTTTTGGAACATTATCCATGGGAAATTTTTAATGTACTCAAAATTTTTGTAAAGTATTCAAGTTTATTTTAGCTTTAAATCAATACAATTCTGTATTATAGTGTTCTGGCTTGCTTCAGTTTCTTAATAACTCTTCCTATTTAAGAAAATTTATTTCAGTTTGACAAGGAATGTTAAATAAGCAGAAAATATATATGTGTATATATATTTTCTCCCAACTTCCTGATCCCACACAAGAAACCTTTTCATTGTGATTGTCTTTACCTCTCTAAATGATAAATAAAGTAGATATTACAAAGAAATTTTAGCTCCATTAGAATAAAGGTACTAAATTAGTAACAGAAAAGGGGTGGAAGGTGGTACTGCAGGAAAACATGATGTTCTTTTGTTCTGATCCAACATGCGAAGGTGCTGAGTTCTTGTCTAGAGACCTCCATGGTATGCCAGGCAGACACCTGCCCATGATCTAGGTCTGGCTATTGCTGGGATTGGATCACAGTGTCAGGACTCTGTTGTGGATGCTCTCTCTCTCTTTCTTTCTCTCTCTCTCTCTTTCTCTCGTCTTCATGGAAGAAAATAAGTAAATAAACTTCAAAAAAAAAAGCTAAATAATGGAAACTACTACTATCATGATGTAATTCACTGATGAGGCAAAAAAAACTTACATCCTTAACTACTCTGGAGGAAGACTCAATAAATTACCTTCCAACACAAAGTATTCATATCCTACTTTCTGTAAGTGTGATACACATGCAGTCAGTTGAACATTCAAATCTGCTCTGTACAAAGTATTATATTCAGTGCTATGGAAAGACAAACAAGGCTTCTAATTAAGATGTAGTCCCAGGCCAGCCAGTGGCATGGTGGTTAAAGTGGCTAAATCCCACATAGTTCAAGCCCCAGGCCAAGTGGCTTAAAAAACATGCCAACCACATATGCGCACATACCTAAAATCCCAAAAGGAAGGAGAAGTAGAGGAGAAGGGTTTTCAGTATGACCATTCTCCATGGAGGGTGCTTTCTCATTCTCTCTAGCTCTCTCTCTGCCAATCACTTTCTTTCTCTCTCTCTCTCTTTCTCTCTCATTCACAGGAAAAAATAAGTAAATAAACTTCAAAAAAAAAAGCTAAATAATGGAAACTACTACTATCATGATGTAATTCACTGATGAGGCAAAAAAAACTTACATCCTTAACTACTCTGGAGGAAGACTCAATAAATTACCTTCCAACACAAAGTATTCATATCCTACTTTCTGTAAGTGTGATACACATGCAGTCAGTTGAACATTCAAATCTGCTCTGTACAAAGTATTATATTCAGTGCTATGGAAAGACAAACAAGGCTTCTAATTAAGATGTAGTCCCAGGCCAGCCAGTGGCATGGTGGTTAAAGTGGCTAAATCCCACATAGTTCAAGCCCCAGGCCAAGTGGCTTAAAAAACATGCCAACCACATATGCGCACATACCTAAAATCCCAAAAGGAAGGAGAAGTAGAGGAGAAGGGTTTTCAGTATGACCATTCTCCATGGAGGGTGCTTTCTCATTCTCTCTAGCTCTCTCTCTGCCAATCACCAAATGTCCTCTGGCGATTAACAACAACAACAACAACAGATGTGGTCCCTAACCACATAAAGAAGATACAGAAGGTGTGATTTTTTTGTTTGTTTATGGAAATCAATTTAATTCCTTCTATAACACATATGTATGTACCAATATGTGTTTTTAGGATTCAAAATAAATAATGCTACTGTTGGTCTCACTATAGAGTCACAAATTATTTTCAACATATTTTATATTCCCAGATAAGATGGTTAAGTAATATAAACTGAAACAATGCAAAAATTCAAAGCAATTTCTCCAGCGTTCCTTAAGATAATATTTATTTGAATTTGGCAATCATATTTTGAGATATATTTTTATTTCTCCTGCTGATCTTCTGCTTCTAGCCCTGTCCTGATGCATCAGGAGCCTAGTAAGAATTAATCACAATTTTTATATTAAAGATACAAGCAGCTTGGGGACAGTCGATGGTATGGTAGTTCAGGCAGTTGGATCCCACATGGCTGACTACACAGTTCAAATTCCAAATTGAAAAATATGCCAGGCACATGTGTGTGGAATGGGAGGGACTGCAGCATGGCCATACCCTCTGGGAGGTGCTTTCTAACTTTCTCTTTCTTCTTCCCCTTTCGTCTCCCTGATGAGTGTACATATCCTATGGCAAAATTTTTTAAAAAAAAGGATATATGCATCTTGAAGCCCAGACATGGAAAAATATAAGCATTCAGGTACTGCTATGTGAGGCTAAGGTCACATTAGGGGTCTGGATTCAAATCCCAGAGCATCCTGAATAGGCTAGCCATGGTGGCACACAATTGCACTCCTAGATAACTGGGTGTGGCAGACCAGAAGATCATAATGGTGAAATTATGTCAAGAAAAAAAAAAAATGCCACCCCTTACTCACTCTCATAAAAATAAAAACAAAGCAAAACAAAAAAAAGAATACATTCAGCTTACAATGATTAAAATTAAAACAAAAAACAATGGTTATCCAATGCCTTGTTGTGTATTAGAATTATCCAAGGTAGACATTTAAATGTGGACTGCCAGACCTCTCTCTTAGAGATTTTAATTCTATAGGTTTAAATGATATTCAAAAATGTGATTTTAAGTAGAACACATCTGGAGAAACACTGAACTCCAGAAATACTGTCAATACAGAATTAGAGTTCCTAATTTCCCTCCTACTTTCGCTATTTTGAAAAGTACCAGGCTATTATCATTTGTTTCTGCTTCTTAAATTTATGTCGACCTCCACAGTACACGTTCTTTAGCCATATATACTCATGTTTCTGTTCACTTCCCAGATGATAGATGAACAAAGTAGACAGGTATGGATAAACAATCCACAGTCCCATGTATTTAATATGTATTTTTTTAAAAAAGCAGATATTCTAACTATAAAACAGAAAGTAATTCTAGTGTTTTGGCTTTTTCCACATCTGACAAATACTGAAATCCAGTACCTTAATAAAAATCAAAAGATGGGGCCAGCTCATAGCCTGGTGGTTAAGGAAGCTGGATCTCACAAGGTCAACCCTATGGTTCAAATACAGGACCTGCTGGCTTAAAAGACATGCTAGGCGTGTGTGCATGTGTGCTCAAACTCCCCAGGGGAGAAGCAGAAGAGAGGGAACCATGCCTCATGGGGAGGTAGGTGCTTTCTCACTTTCTCTCTCTCTTTCCTTTTTCTAGCAAGCACATGTGCCCTCTAATGAATAAAAGAAAAGACTACTGTTGAAAGAAATTTCCAGGAAAGTTTCCTAAAAAAATTTAATTCACTAATAATAGCAGCTTACCTGCCATCCCGCTGAGCAGCACCACCTTCTGTTACTGTCTTGACAAATATCCCCAGCTTTTCAAGTCCAGCATCTGCTCCAACACCCATTCCAATAATACTTATACCAAGACCATCCTCATCTATGAAAAAGAAAAAATTAAAAAAAGGAACAACCTAGGTTTTACACTAGTCTGCAATAAGATGGAAAGATTTATTTGCTGCTTCTAACTATTTTCTTCTTTATGGATAAGATACATGCTTTGCATGCCTTAGCAATGTTGTTCTAAACTGAAGAATAAGGATATCAAATAAGATCCCTCAACAGGCTCATGAGTTTAGCTTCATTTTACTAGTGCAGTTGCTTACCTCAATCTGATTCAAAACACAGACTTACTAAATAATCTTATGAATTATTCTAGGCATGAAAGCACATACACACAACACACACACACACACACACACACACACACATATATTTAAATAAATGTGATTATTATCATATCTAGAATTTCTACTTTATTCATATGGTCTTTTCTCCATTACTTGTCCATTCACTTACTAAGATACTATGCATCTTTGAGTATTTATTTCTGTGCTATTGGGTCATCGTAAAAGTCATGACGTATTTTTGCATAGAAACAGAAAAATACGTCATGACTTTTCCAACAACTCAGTACTATACAAGGATATATATAGTGTATTGTGTGGGTGCACATATGTGTGTGTGCATATAAAAAGTTGTGATATAAAGACAAATATGCATATATATACATATATAAATATACATTATATGTGTGTGTGTGTACTCTCTGCCACTTGCTTTTTAAAATTCAATACTACTTCATGCATATAAACTTAATAAGCTCTAAATCGTTTCTAATGACAGTGAAGATTTCATGGTGAGAGGGTATCATGTATCCAATCACTTCTCTATTAAAAGGAACACAACTTGTGTTTCCATTTATTGACCCTGTGAACAATACTGACAAATAGTTGAGATTTTTTTTTTCATTTACTTACAAATCATGTGCTTTATCCTTATTTCCACTTCTCTCTGTATATAGCTTAACATCAACAAAACAAAAGCTACATTATTTTGTGTACCACATTTTGGGGTAACATTCAAGGTTATTTTCTGATAACCTCCAAGTCTTTGTAATTAGGGTTTATCAGCAGCATAAAAACAAAAACAAAAACAAAAACAAAAACAAAACAGATACTAGTCAATCAATACAGAAGTATTATTAAAGAAAAACTAACCTATATACTCAATAGAATGTTAGATGCATTTAAAGGCTTTTCAGCAAAAACTTCTATTAAGTATTCTTAATTAGCATTCTTTTGATGAGAGTTCACTTCACTGATTATTACTTGTTACTGACTTCTACTTTAATCATTTAAAAGTACAATTCACAATCCTACATTTTTATTCTACCTATGTTTAAAAAGATGTCCTTTCACCAAAGTGCAATTTGCTTGCTCAGGTGCATGCTAGAGAAATCTTTAAAGTGGTCTCCCTCAATGTGTTTTCTGATGTAAATCCCAGCTAAAGACAATTCCACATTGATTCTAGGCATAGGTATCTTTAATGTGAGAACTTTAATGGGACTAATATATGAATTGTCACTGAAGACTTTTGTCTACACTTAGAATGTCTGCATTCACATGATTTCCCATATTTATTTCATTCCAGTTATTTCTCTATTACAAATACTCTGATATTCATCAAGAGGAATCTTAAGATTTTCCTACATTCATTAAAGTTTTATGGTTTCTCTGCAGAATGACTTTTCTAGTTTACATAAAGGATTCAGTATGTATTAAAGGCACTTCCACACTGGTTACATGTATGGGGCTTCCTTCTCTCCCACATGAGCTGTCTTGTGTATATAAAGGTTAGCTAAATACTTGTTCATATTCATCACATCTATGGAGTTTTTCTGGGGTGTAGATTTGTTCATGGTAAAGACAGATGAATGATCACTTAAAGCCTCCCCGTGGTATTTACATCAATATAAGTTCTCTTCCAAGCATGCTGCTCTTATGTTGTCCAGGAGATGACCACTGAAGACCTTGCTACAAAGAATAATGGCACAGAGTTTTTCCACTGTGTGAAATCTCTGGTGTACACGAGTATTAGCATGTTGGCTGAATTCTTGCTCACATTCATTATACTTGTGGGGTTTTTCTCCATTATGAATTATCACATGGCAAGCCAATGATGGTCTGTAAGTGAAACATTCTCATAACTCCATATGAAAGGACTTCTGTCAAATATGTAATGTCTGTACTGTCAAGACATTAAATAGTTTCTTCCCGTAACTATCTGGTGTTGGCAGTTAGATCTTGGTTTTTTAATCCACTTTCCCTGCCTGGACTCAGTCCTTGGTAAAACTTTGTCCTTCAATAGCTCCCTCTTTGCTATAACTGAAAAACTACTCAGATTTGCAGAACTGGTTGTAGAAAGAGCCACATTAACTTCAACTATCCTCAATTCTAATACAGACTACCATCAAAAATAAGGTAAGTCAGAAGAGCAACACAAGGAAGAGCACAGCCACTCCATCAAGACCAGATGACTGCTCTTCTTGAGCACCTCATCCTTACACAACTTCCCTTGATATGGGTCAAGCGGGTAAAGTCAAGAGCCTCCTACTTAAAGACCTCTGATTCCTGTTGCTTCACTACCAAGAACTCAGCAACCAACCTGTCTTCCCTTGCACTCATTCCTAGGGACATGAAAAGCACTGAGGCAGCCAAGCAGTGAAAAAAAAAAGGAACAGACAGTGAACCTGTACCATGATGGAAGACAATACCATCACACTCTGGTGCTTAACACTTATTTTCCCTCTCAGGAAAGGAGTCTATGATCGCTTAATAGCCCCTTCTTTGCTAGTGAGAAGTGAGGCAGTATTCACCAGAGTGTGCATCATAGTAATTTACAGAGATTTTTCTATACCAAATCTTCTCAAAGAATATGGTATATCTTTCAATCTGCTTATATCTTATGTCCTTCGAAAGGATTTTATTTTCTATGAATTCTTTTTTTCTTAATAATAAACTTAGCAAGTTTTTCTTGTTTTGGTGCTATTTTAAATAAAATATTCTCCACATTTTCATTTCTAGGTTCTTTATATGAATATTAAACAAAACCTGAATTTATATATATATTGGATCTGGCCTCTTCCTTCACAAATTACTTTGTCAATTCTAATATTTTTAAATTAGAATTAATTTGGTTTTCTAGATACATATAGACATAAATATGGATCTAGCTATATGAGCAAAAGGAGATGCTTTTCATGTTTCATTTTGTTTATATTGATCATTTCATGTAAATGACATTACAAATTTGACTCTAGGTCTTAACTGAAATATCTTGCATTTCTAATTTAAAGACAGAATTCTGTTAATATTATGACTTATAGTTTGCATACTATTTGGATCATTTCCATGGTGTGCTCATCTATGTAAATTTTTTATTTCAAATTGTTAAACTATTATAAAATGTTTTCATATGACTATAGGCTTTTTCTTTAAATTTTACATAAATAAATTCACTAAAAGGAGCCATTTTCTATCTTTGTACCTAAGATGCTATTTGGTCCTAATATATTTTTCTCTTTAAATATTGCTATACTGGATATATCATTTCACTGAAAAAATTTAAAACATTTACTCATAATTGGAGCTGTACTACAGTAATCCTCTTTTGTAACATGTTAGTATAAACTGTTATGTTGTTTTGATAGAATGAATTAAAGAGCTTTCCTTCATTTTCTATAATCTAAAATAGTTCACCCATTTCTTCATTCCATGAGTGACAAAGAGACAGGCATCCCAACAGGGTCATGATGCCACAATCCATACCCAGATTTAGCAAATCCCAACCTTGGGCAAAAAACTTTTCATTGATTATTACTGTTATTTAATACATCTCTCCTCCTCCATTGCCTTTTCCCCTTCTCTTGCCTACATTTATATATTGGGACTCTTTCATGATCATCCTTGGGTTTTTTGCTCTATTATTTGATAATTACTTCGGGACATTTCTTACACTTGATCTTCTAAGTCACCAGTTTGAGGCTCAACAATCATCATCCTTGACTCTTTGGTTCCTTTAGTAAAATTTTTCATTTAAATATCAAGGAATCTGGGCTGGCCCTGTAGTACAGTGGTTGAATATTTACTGAGAGTTGGATTCCACATAGCAAACCACAGTTTGAATTCCAGCCCTGGTTGACTTAAAAAACATGTCAGGCAAGTGTGTGTGTCCAAAATCCTGATAAGATGTAGAAAAGTTTATAACATGACTATGCTCCATTAGGAAGTGTTTTCTCTTTCTCTCTTTCTCTTTCTGGCAAACATACATGCTCTCTGGCAATTAAACAATATACGTTTAAAATATAATTAGGAAATCTGTTTGGGTTTATTTGCCTAACAAGGTCTTTTTCAAGCCATACTTGAATATCCTTGAGTGGTTTTTGCTTCTTTCTTTTTCGGTATTCAACTTATCATCAGATAGTTTTGCATTTTTCCAAATCTCTCTCAGATGTATTCTTTTTCTGGGTCCTAGGCTATAGTACAGCTGTTGGGTGCCCATGTGACATGAAGATTAACAGAATAGTCTCTGTTCCATGGGCGAGCAGTCTCTGCAGCAGGCAGGCTGTCCTCTTAGGGTAAGGAACAGGATGAAGTCCTTTTGCTGCTTCTTCTCCTGGCTCTCTTTCAGCCATCTTCCCTCAGAGATGAAGAACCCTCCTATATATCACTGTCTTTATTCTAAACACCCACCATTTCTCGGAGGCTTATAAATGCATTCCATGTCTGAGTCTACCACATTCTTTTTTTTTTTTTTTTTTGGAGAGATTTTCACTGTAGGGCGCGTGCGCTCGCCAGACAGACAGAGAGAGACATAGAGACAGAAAGCGAGAAATCACCCCCCAGGGGGGATGGTCACGCCGCAATCCCTTCTCCTCCATTCTCCTC